CGTCTCCTCACTAGCCACAGGCGCCCAAAGGGAAGAACCACAGGTGCCAAACCCATTAGGACCTGCTAGACAGGGCCAGTCAACTCACAGTGCACTGTAGACCAGGGCCCAGTCTGAGGGTGGGAAGATCATGGGATAGGTAGCCCGGTAACTCTTCGGGGTGTCTAACAGACACAAGTCCTGGTGCTGTCAGCTGTTCAGGTAACAGAAATACACCCTATCTAATCTGTTACCACAGAGCAACGCAGCTCTGAGTTCCTACCTGCACCACTGACCCAGAGAATAAAAATTTTGAAAATGTGTTTGCTGGTTAAATTTTCAGGGGCAAATAAATAATTTCCAGGCAATTTGGGAACCAGTTACTGATATCCTCGGGTGTGGGGGTCTCCTCTATCCCCTGGCAGGATCAGGCCCAGACCACACTGCACCTCTTGAAATGGGATTCCCTGAGAAGTCCTGACTCAGGGCATTGAGGTTTTCACACGCTGGGTTTGCTTTTGATCTCTGTGTAACTTAAATACCCCACCAGAGAGTACAGGCACATGGAGGGGAGGGTTCCTGAGCTACCTAGCGCTGCCTGCCCACCAGCCTTGTCACTGAGTTTCCCCACAGCCCAGCTGAGTCCTCTGCCGCTGCACAGAACAGCTGCCAATGCAAACAGCCTGCAGCCTTCGCCCTGCACTTGGCATGTTACAGACAGTGACACCTGCCAACGTACCCAGTTCCGGCTAGAAGGAGCTGCTGGCGCCGGACAGCTTCACTGTAAAGGACAAGGAGTCATCAGAGAGGTTGCACAGGCAATAGAGAGTGTGTGTTCAGATAGGGAGACAACTGCCTTTATGCAGCATGTTTGTACCTTCCCTTGGGGCCACTTGGCCATCAGGGAACCTCAGCTGCTTGGCTTCGTGTGCACCAGCTTTAACCTCGTCATGGCCAATGGCAAATGGCAGAAGGCGGAGGAGGAGATGGCGGGGCGATGCGAAAGGACCAGCCCTGTTGAAGGCTATTAGATTGTGTACACAGGATTTGTGGTTGACAAATCCATGCTGGCTGTACCTTATGGCTGCTTTATCTTCTGGCCGTTTGCAAATGAATTATTTGCAGAAGTTAAACTGATGGGCATGTACTTCCCTGCATTGTCCTTATTTCCCTTTTACTAGATGGGCTCTTTGTTTGCCCTTTTCCAGTCTTCTGGAATCTCTCCAATAGTCCAAGACTTTTCAAAGTCGCTTAGATATCTCTTCAGTCAGCTCCTGGAGTATGCCAGGGTGGTTCCCGTCATGCCACGGTGACTTGAAGACATCAAACTTATCCAATTCTTTTTAATTTGTTCTTTCC